GCGGGAACCACTGAGCGCAAATTAAAAAAAAAAAAAAGGAAGCCTGGCCACAGATGAGCTTATGAGGAGGAGCTATGTTGAAAAGTCAGTGCAAGAGGGAGGCTCTGCGTCACTGATCAATATGATGCATTGGTCAGGTTAAGAAAGTAAACAAGGAGGAACAATGATATAATCCAGCCACCAACACAATTCACTTGGCTTGGCCAAGAGTCTTTTAAGATCAGACCAAAAACCTGTCTAGTCCAGCACCATGTTTTCCTTACTGGTCAAGAGATTCCTATTAGGAAACTGTAAGCCAGATATGCAGGCAAGAGCCCTCTCCTGCTCTTTTCATCAGTGCATGATCCTAGCTGGTTAGAATCAAAACATGATGGAGTCACGATACTACAGTTTGACTGGTTTGTACACTGACACCACAAAATACAAAAATAAAACCTCCACTCCCCCACAATTTTGCCCAAGCAACCTACAGATGTTCTTTATCTTGCTCTACTACTTTGTCTTGCTGCACTGCTCACTAATATCATACATCAAGAATGTTAAATCTGGCTCAACTCAAATAGCACCTAGCTGTATCTGATTTGTAATAAATATGCAATTTGTGCATGAATTTTCCTGGAAATAATACTATGTAAAGTTGTCTTCGGTAGCCTACTGCCCTCTGGTGTGGTTGACTACGGGTGATGATGTCATGTTAGGAAAGTCTGCTGTGAATCAATGATAACCGCATTTGGATGTATATCCAAGTGTGGATGTTCTTCCTGTCCACTGCACTGAATTGAACAGGATATGCTTTGGGCTGCCCACACAAATTGCAGGCATTTGAACAACCCATTAAACCTGGGGCAACTTATGGACATGTCTAGGATTGCAGGCTATAAAACTAAGGAAAGCGGGATATCATGGGGTGCAACATTAGGAATTATTTAACTTTCAATTCATTTCAGTAGCCAGCACCCTGAATTCCACACGAATGGAAAGGAGAGAAGACTTTCACCAACTCTCCTTTTACGCCTTAACCCTGGTGCTTCACAAAATCTCCCCTAGAAGAGTTGAGGACTTCTGAAAGAGTATGTTAATTTAGATAGTAGTGGGAATGTGAATGAAATAAATCCTTTCATTTATAAATCTCTAATTTGACTCCAAACCATTGAGACTAAATCACAAATACCTTTTTTTTCTATATAATAGCCTCTCTGTCTATTTATTCAATACATTATCCTTTTACCAGTCCATACAAGTGGTCTCCCATTGGGTCAGTTTACAGGAGAAAAAGATCACTGGCTTTTCTGCACTCACAACTGTACACTGCTGTGCTCTCTAAAGAAGGATTTACTTATGGACTAATAATTGCCTCAAAAAGATATCACAATTCCTGCACAATTTCAGTTTATCCTATTACTTAGAAGCTGTTTATAATTTTCAAGGGGTACCAAAAAGAAGTTCTGAATTGAAACAGATGATGCAACAATGATGAAATACGTCTCATAATGTCACAGTGCAAACTCTGTCTTTTGTACTTACATCCTGACACTGCATGCAGGTAAATAAGCCACATGGCTTGTATTGTGTTGTTGAGACACACATTTCATCATTTGCCCCCTTCCTGTGAAGCACAAGGTTCTAACACTTAGAATTATACTATTCCAAAACTGCAGATGTGGCACTGCCGCAGAGAAATAATGTATTGCTAGAATTGCAGAGTGAGTTAATGAGAGACCTTGAATTTGGGCCAGTAATGTCTTGGCTCAAGTTTAACACCTCAATACAGCTTTTAACCAAGGTTCAGTTTTTCCCAAAAACTTGACTGTCTCAAAAGAAGACCCTTGGCGAATCTGAGGAGAACAAGCTTTTGTGTTATCCTTGTTTCCCATGCTAAACATGCTTAGCACTAGAACATTTGATACTTCAATAGTTGTAGAGATCAAATATATTTACCAGGCTTCTCTTTTCTATCATCTTACAGGTCTTGTAGAAATTTGCCTGATGCATCCCCTCGATGTGGTGAAAACCAGGTAAGGTTCTGCTTGAACAAGTTTTATTGACATTGGAAGGCATCCAAATTGGAAGCTGTCAGAACTCAAAACGCTCAAACTTGTCCAACTAAGATAACTTCTCCCTTTAATGGCATTTATATTTACTTACTCTTTTTCATAGCATTTGACAGGCAGAATTTAAATGGCATGATGCATTTCTGCTTGGAGGTCATCTGGAGGTGCTAAATATCTCTTTATAAAATGCACTCTTCATGTGACAGCCTGAGATCCTTTTTGTTAAAAAGGGAGGAGGGGAGTATAGAAAGTCTGTGTGTGTGTGTGTGCGTGTGCGTGTGTGTGCACACACACACATGAATGTGTGTTCCTCATCTTTATCATCTGAATTTATCTAAATGTATTTATCATCTGAAGTAATGTTTTTACTTGAAGCTGGAAATGTCGTATTGCTTTAGAAATAAAATAATATTGATCGCAGATGTGGCTTGACACAGCTAGTCATATTCTACAAAGTCATCCAAAAGTATCCTTTCAACCTTTGCACATGGCAGTTGGATAGTTTCATGGCAGCCACCATCAGGCATGTTCACTGACTTCCAAACACACATTTACAGCTCGGCAAGTACCACCTGCTCAGTTGCTTTGGAAGAACACTAAGATGTTTAGGGCTAGCATTGTATCATCATCATCATCATCATCATCATCATCAGGAAAAATGCATGCTTGTCAGGTAAATGTTTCGGGTTCTGTTTCTAAAAATCATATCTAGTCAGTTAGTGTAAGAACATTGCACCTGAATGAGTCAGTTTTGGGAAAGCTGCTGTCTTTTTCTGCCTTTTGCATTTCAAAACAAAAGTTAGAATGGGTTAAGATTTTCATTTATTTATTTATTTGTTAGACTTACATTCTGCCTTTCTTCCCAAGCTCAAGGCAACATATAAAGTACTTAAGTGTGTGGTAGGTGAACTGAGGGACAGGGAGCTTCTGTGACTGAAGGTGGACTTGGACCTGGACCTCCCTAGTGCTAGTCCAATCCTTTAACTCCTATCCCCCACTGACTCTGCATCTCTGGATATTTGAAATTAGAAATCTGGAGAAATTTAGCCCACTATATCTTTGGGTGTTTGCTACGTTCTCTCTTTGCAGCAAGCTGTGAGTTGTTTTAACATTGCTTGTTGAACAAACCATATTAGCCTGGTTCACACACACACACACACACATT